AGAAATGTAACGAAAAACGCGGTAATCAATTACAAAAACAAGGAACGTGTTCCTTTTCCAAGGAGCAAGTTGAAAATTCCTTTTCTTGTTTTGTTAAAATTTGTTAAAAATAAGAAATAAATACAACATTAAGACAAAAATTCAGAAAAATGGTTGAAATAATTTTCAACGAGATCACATGGCATGATAGCCTACATGAAGTACTATTTATTGCGAAAGTATAGAATTAAGCACAATCTGTTCCGAGGATCAGAGCGCCAAACATTGGCAAATAAAGTTTTAAGTTTACATGCTTCGATTTGCATGTCAAATATTTTAATATATTGAAATATCATCTTGATAAATTCTTGCAAATTTCGTAGTTTATACCGTTTTTATTTACAACTACTGTTTAAGATATTGTCTTATAATATATATATATATATATATATATATATATATATATATATATATATATATATATATATATATATATATATATATATATATATATATATATATAGGCAATGTAGCTAGTAACAATTTGCCGGTAAAGGAATTTGTAATTAATTCCTTGTTTCGGAGTAATTTTTTCATTGTACTTAATCACATTTTCATCATACAAGTAATTGTAATCAGGAATTTATTACATTTTAAAGCAAGTAATTGGAATTGGAATTAATTCTTTTTTCAGTGGTAATTTTGCAGCCCTGTTTATATGGTACGTTATTATACAGGTATCTATGTACCATTAAATTATCTTCAGAATATTAATTTTGTATATATCATATGTAGCCATGGGCCCATGGTATACAAAAAAAACTGTTGCTGTTGTTGTTGTTGTTGTCACTATAGTAAAAAGACTCGAACCTTGTTGAGAAAGCTGGACTTGCCTACTTCTCTCATTCTCTACCATTCTTGACCGTTCTGTCTTATATGTCAGTACAGAATGGCCTTTAATAATATATACCGTTGTGATTTGAGATGTATAGCCGGGGATTGGGGGAAATGCCCTCTTTAATTAAGGCTTGCCCCAGTAGTTGTAATGGTTTAGAAAATGTCTTGTACGCGACCAGACCACCTCACGCAAAAAAGGTTGATTACTCATCCTCGCATATAATTATAAAATTCATGCGCCGTGATCCGAATTTTGCGTGCTGTGTTCAGTTGTTGACTTTCTGACAATTGAATTAGAGGCTGCGCCTAAATGTCAAAAACAACTGTTGCACCTTTGACCTTTTAGCGTTAGGTGGCCGTGTCTGACGTAAAACTAGCTGCTGTAGTTCCCTTTCTGGCTCTCAAAGCCGGTGTCGGCACGGAACGATTTTCCACGATATTTTTTATGCAAATGATATTACGCGAAATTTGATTGGTTCAGCGTTGCGTTTTGAATTGTCTCGTGTAACTGATCAAGTTTACGCGCATGACTGCGCTTTATGTCGTAGCTTATGTACCAATTACTAAATATGAACTATATAGCAAGGGAGAACAGCCGTAGCCTGCGTGCAGGTACTATTACTACCATTAGCGAGTTTGAGTCGGTTTTGGTCGTGTGTCGTGGGCAAAAGTCGTGCGTAAAAGTCGTGGGTCAAAAAATGCTTTTGCTAAATAATTTCTGTTTTAGCAAAACGCATGTAAGCGATCGGCAATGCCCAACTGAATATCTAACCAAAATTCTTCATATTACGCGTTCGAACGTCGAACTAAAGTCAAGAGAGCGTCTGTCTTGTCAAAAACTGTTTTCAACACCTTTTTAATGTCAGTAATCTTACTTCTCAACAAAACGCTAATCTAATTAAAATGGATAAAAATATGGTTAGGTGGAAAACGCGGACATGCGGACACGCGGACATGCGGACACGCGGACATGCGGACACGCAAGTCAAGTGGAAAACGCGGACATGCGGACACGAAATTTACTAAACTTCAAAAAATCTATTACGACAATAATTAATAATTTTTCGCGTGATATTGAAAGTTATCAACGCCGTGTATTTCTCTCTCTTTTCTCTGTCTTAGTTTGTAAGCTCGTTTAGTGTATTTCGTTTATTTCGCTTCTTTTTTAGTTACAAAAACAAATCTCGCCATGGGCCATGGCTTTATATGTTCTGCATGTAAAGAAGCTCGTTTTCTGCTGGCAGAATTGACGCCATATTTACATTCAGAAAGCTATATCTGCAGGTGTGATGTCATAATTACACAATCAATTCCATGTATTTTACTTACAGTATTGAAGATTCTGAAAAATCCACTCAGAATCTTTACAAAATACAAACAACGGCAATTCAGAAAACGTTTTCATATATTCAAGTTTCAACTACATATATATGTTTTAATTGTCATCACGAATGATACTGGGTTATATTTTATAAGTGAGGAATCACAGAGTAATTTGATATACATACACATACGTATATATTATCAGGTCTTTTGATGCTTTACTTCCCTGCTTCAAGGTTAAGTTCTCAGTGCAAAATTGTAGCTGATCATGACTAACTTGTGATTGCCGATCAACACTAGGGGTACAGTTGATCGCACGCGCAGGTATAGTTTTGCAACTATTTATTCGTCGGGATCATTATTATGATACAGAATGCCCGTCCATTTTGACACTTCGCACCTCCTTTAATCATTTGCGAACAGCGACAACTTCCTCATAATAGGTACTCGATAGAATTGATTGCTGATGGGTTTTGTAGATGGAAATTTCGAATGTCACTTTTATAGATGTTTTTATACCTAACCGGCCCTAACCAGGAGCAGTTGAAAAAAATTCCAGCAATTGCCCAAAATCCTCTACATTGGCATCGCCTTAGTATATACACATGGACTTGCGGTTTGCGTTCGACAACAGGATTCTATAGGAGCTTATTAAGCTCAGTTGGTTAGAGCGCTTCGAGATTGGCGTATTGATACTGCCTGCGTTCCAGTTTTGATCATTTCAACTAAAATATAGTGATATGTAAATGACATATCACACCTGCTCGTGTGACAACGAAAGGCCTGCTTAAATTACTTCCGATCTATGCTTTGCCGTTAGTTCCGATCCGAATATCCGATCTATGCTTTGCTGTTAGTTCCGATCCGATCTATGCTTTGCTGTTAGAGCATTCACCACAAGATGTCGTTTAAGCTCCCTTCTTTTTCCAAATCGAAGGTCTCCTATCAAGAATTCACGAAAGGTCTTGAAACATTTTTGTTGACTGATCTCTCTGATACTAGTGAGATTGGAAGAGGTACATTTGGTGCAGTGTTACTTGCCTCTTTCAAGAGTGAGCAAAAAACAGTAGCAGAAAAAGTCGTTGTTAAGAAATTGCTACAATCGTCGAGGTCTGATGAAAAACAAAGGTTTTTCAAGGAAGCAAGGCTTCTTCAAAGCCTCAACCACAAGAATGTAGCGAAGTTCAAAAAAGTATATATCGAACCGCCGGCGATAATGATGGGGTTCGTAGCGTTTGATTTTAAATTATTTTGTTCCGATAACGGGAACAAACAAGTCAGCAACCTGCAGGATTTTCTTGGGTACTTGGACGAGAATGGCGCCGCTGATGCATTCCCGCCATTCCTATACCAAAAAATTGCCTTTGATATAGCCTATGGCTTACAGTATCTACAGGGTGTCTCAAAAAAACCCAAAATCATTGAAATTGACGTATTGTTCGATATTCAATGCCCTAGCACTAAGTTAATCCCACGAGTGCATAACAGATTGACATAACTGCTATAATGAATGGTAATACTCAGCGTAAACTTGTTATGTCAGGCATAAAGTACTAAACCCACGAATGCATATTACGCATATTACAATTTACGAAGCATTTTAAATTCCCATGAGCAAACAAACGTTCACTTTACAAAGATATTTTAATTTTTTAAAACAAATTAATCACCCTGTCAAAATCCTTTGTGTTACGGCATTGAAATTCGAACAATACGTTATTTCAATGATTTTGGGTTTTTTTGAGACACCCTGTATTGTAGCATTGTACAGGGTGTCCCAAAAAACCCCGAAAACCATTGAAATCACTTATTGTTAAAATTGAATGCCCTACTAAAAAGCTGAACGTAATGATGCGTAAAATATTGACAAGGTGCGTGTATTAAAATTTAGTTAAGAACATCTCCTTGTAAAGTGCACGATTTTTTGCTCTTGGGAATTTAAAGCAGCTTCTTAAATAGTTTCTTTATGCATAAAATGTACTGATGTCAATCATTTATGCACTCGTGGGAACCTACAGAGTGCTAAGGCATTCAAATTCTAACAATTAAATTGTTATTAGTGATTTCAATAGTTTTCGTTTTTTTGGAACACCCTGTACAGGGTGTCTCAAAAAAACCCAAAATCATTGAAATAACGTATTGTTCGAATTTCAATGCCGTAACACAAAGGATTTTGACAGGGTGATTAATTTGTTTTAAAAAATTAAAATATCTTTGTAAAGTGAACGTTTGTTTGCTCATGGGAATTTAAAAATGCTTCGTAAATTGTAATATGCGTAATATGCATTCGTGGGTTTAGTACTTTATGCCTGACATAACAAGTTTGCGCTGAGTATTACCATTCATTATAGCAGTTATGTCAATCTTTTATGCACTCGTGGGATTAACTTAGTGCTAGGGCATTGAATATCGAACAATACGTCAATTTCAATGATTTTGGTTTTTTTTGAGACACCCTGTATATTAGATGGCACTTTGCATGTATGATTCTTTTAGCAATATTATAAAAGACCGTTTCTGTGTGCTGATATATATATGCATGTGTAGGATATACCGCTGAAACAAAGCCGAATATAAGATGGGAGCCATTCGCGGCTAACGATAAACAGTGCTTGTAATTCAACTTTATTCTATTTACGAAAATAGCAATGAATTATCATAGATCATAATAAATTAAACATAGTAGAATGTGTGCACGATATAAATTTGTTGAATGTGCATGTATAGTTCAGCTGCTTTTTCGTTTTTTGTAATTTGTACTTTGTAGATACACAAAGCTTTCGATCCGTGATCGAGGCCTACAGAGTATAAATTATATTTTTTTCACCATGCAAACATGCAAAGAACTTATTCGTTTTTTAAAATGTTTTTTATGATTGCCGTTCGCGTTCCCACTTCCGTTCCCACTTCCGTTCCCATTCCCCGTTCCCATTCCCCGTTCCCACTTCCGTTCCCATTCCCCGTTCCCATTCCCCGTTCCCATTCCCCGTTCCCATTCCCCGTTCCCATTCCCCGTTTCCATTCCCCGTTCCCATTCCCATTCCCATTCCCGGTTCCCATTCCTCGATTCCCCGTTCCTTGTTTTAAAGATAGCCGACTTTATATGATCCTTGTGATGTTACTCTGAGTGTATATCCACACCGGGCAAGCTTGAAAAATATGCCTGACCCGCCTGGCCACGGTGGGAATCGAACCTATGGCTATACAGCAGTATTCTCGTATATGCAGCAACTTCTAGACTTCTAGTGTATATTTCCAAACTGCGCACTGACGGTGTGAATGCGTCAATATGCATGAGATCAATTTTAACCTTGGCTGTGGTAAACGCCCATTCTCTCTCATCATGACGCACTTGAAAATTGAAATATGATCACATGCGAACATATTTATATATCACAAAAACATCATTGCGCGGTTGTAACTGTCAGTCGTTCCCCTTGTATTGGAAAGTGCAGAATTATATCCGCCATGGCTGGTAATCTACAGTACGTCCTTCTGTTCTTGGTTCTCATCAGTATACAACAGTGTATAGGTCGCTTTCGGTTTCTACCAACGCAAAGTAAAGCACCTAAGGTATTTTTTATCCTTTTTGTTGAATAATAGAATATTACGTTATGAAATGAAGTTCACATCCTACTGTAGATGTTTTAGACTCACTAGTGTTCTTAAAGCATTGAAATAAAGGAATTACAATGCTCTTGTGTGCGTACGACATTTGCACGCGCCCGAGAACTTTCGTTTTATAAAGTATCGAGTAGTTTTAAATAGCATTGTATAACCAGAAATTAATGACGTTGTGTAAAAACATTCGCGCAAATATAGACAATAATTTAATTATTGTTCAATGTTAATATACTTCCATCACTAAATGATTATATATCGTTTGAGGTTAGGGAATGATTATATATCTACAAGTCGACTCGCATTGTAACATGTCTCGCACTATTAGCTGTCTTAGCTCTGCTTTTAGGGGATATTAAGTAGGGGATACGAGTAGGGGATATTAATTAAACAAATAACAATCATAAAGCTCAAAGCTGAAGTTATCTCAAAGACACAATACAAGAGCAAAACGTCTTAAACGAGCTCATACGTTCTCGCTATATGCTTTCAAAGTAAACCGCGCATTTTTTTACCTGTCTGCAGCGATAGCATTCCAAGACACAGTATTGAAATCAAGCGTAGTCATTCAAACTAAACTAGTTTATACAGGAAGGAAACCCGTCAACCCGGCAAATTAAAAATATAATTTGTGCGCATTTCACGGTGTGGAAGTGTTGACACTGTGGAGATCACATGACGTATGTTGTTGAAAGCAGAGCAAAGGCTGCAAACCTTTCCGTACGTTTAATCTGGAAAGTAGCCTTAATTAAATTAAACGACGTCATAGGCTGTGTCTTCCTGTTTTTAAAAACTACAATTTCTTCCAGAATCTTCGCCGTCTTATCAGCTCTTCTGCCCGCCAAGACAAAACCACCGGGATTTTGGCTTGTCATGGCATGAATAGGTTTCTAGTATGCGCTAGCTACCGGAAATGGGGGAGTGGAATGTCGGCAATCTAAAATGCGCAGAAGCATACGACGGACCGTGTATTACTAAAAAAATCCTTGTGCACTTCTTCCGAATCCCAAAAAGGTCTTCCAAATAAGCCCGTAATCCTGTCAAAATTAAATTTGTCGACAAAATCACATAAAATCCCAAAGCGTGTGGGCTGTGAACGCACCAATTAATCAAAGGCTGCATCAGTTTGACGGGATAGGTCTAAAATTCAAGTGGGATTCGCAATTTTAAGAGAAATATTGGTCGGGAAGCGGGATTGATAAAAATGCCATGGTGAGATGCCGGAAATTAACCCATGATTAGCGGGATACGAAATAAATCAACAAGACTTACAGTCGTACGTATTTTAGCTTAATCTCTACCGGATCTGTTGTCATTTGTTAACGTGCTCGGAAATTTACGGTTTGTAAGGATGATATTGAAAATATTAAACCTAAAAACAGCAAGACCTGTGGGAGAATGAAAAACAAGAGGGCAAAGTAGAAAGTCCTCGTTCTGCCCGAAAGAATTGGAATATGCATATCAAAGTATTAAACTGTTCAATCAGCATTCTAAATATGCGAAAGTTGCTCAAAGAAAAAATAGCAGTTAGTTTCCGCACAGTTGACTCGCCTTAAAATAGAAAATATATTCTCTTGGGCAAAATATCCAGTACAAAAATGATCTAATTTGCAATTCTATTGTGGCTATACAGTTACTATAAGTGAAACGCTAATTATGATTGAACAGTTCAATACTTTGACATGCACATACTTAATGCTTCCATTCTCAGCTATGATTCAATTGCAATTTATATCGACGCAAAACGCGTCATTTGGATGCGCGGTGGAAAATCCGAATTGGCTTAAGGTGGCTCCCTACAGTTTTAGGTCTGTGTCGCGGAAATTTTGTCCACACGCGAAATCAGTAGTGCTACACGCAACACGCGTGGTCGACGTTGCACGCGTGGCGGGTTTTTAAAAATTGCGTCGCGATATACACGCGCGGGGCTTCGTGGAATTGTCGGCTGGTCGCGCGAGGAAATTAAAATCCTGATTTTTGTGACGTCACATAGATAAAAATAAATGTATTTTTCTCGTGTTTCCTTCGGTAAAATTTTTTAAAACTTCACATACTTTCCTGTGATCTTGAAGTGCGTAAAATGTGCAAGTTTTAAGAAAATCGTACGAGCCGAATTTTTTTATTCCAAAAACAGGGCTTTTCGAGGATTAAAAAAATTCTTGTACGATTTTTTTAATGCTATCATTTGAAGGAATTATAGATAAGATCAAAATGTTTTACCGAAGAAACTTTCAAAAAATTATCAAAGAATCTGCAAATTAACCCTTTTTAAAATCGCTTTGTTACCATGGCAACGGGGATTTTTAACGACATTTTTTATTTTTTGTAATTCGCGATATTGTAGCAGTTATGTGACCAAGTTTCGTGATCATACTTTGCAAGATGATAAAATAATGGTTTTTTGAATATAATTGTGTGTTGTACAATCAAAACTGTAGGGAGCCACCTTAAGCTACGTTTACACGCTGCGATTAGTCGTGTACGATTCGTTTTCGGGCGTATGTCATCGAGTAAACACACGAACGCAGGCTACATTTGAAATTTCTTTTTAACCAAACGGCAATGAATTATGGCGCCAGCACTCATTTTAACACGCCAGAATACGAAGCGTACACGATTAATCGTAGCGTGTAAATGTAGCTTTATAGCTCCAGCCTCCAGTGCGTGCACGTATCGACTACGACACACTGTATTTCGTAGTACTGTATATAAAACGTTTAAAATAGATGACATAATGATATTCCAAGTCACAGATAAAGAACATTCACGAGTAACGGTAAAAAGTTCGCGGATAGAATTACAATAACGTAAAGCCTAAAGGTGAAAGATTTTCGCAAAAACACGCTTAAATTTAAATGGCTATATTTCGAAGCGTCTAAGCGTCTTGTTTTAGTCCATGCTGCGTTTTCGAGATATTCACATTCATATGTGTTAACACTTGAAGTTACTGTGGGTTTCTAATCTTGGAAAAGCTCTAAAGCGAAAATTAATAAAGTTTACATTATTTCTACAGATGCCGAAAGCTTTGTTCTCCAGCATGAAAAATATGTCGACAACTCAACAATTTCTTAAGTCAATGAACATGTTTCAACAAGAGAAGAAGAAAGGTGTTCTTCCATCACAAATGAAAGTTCCTCTGGCCATGTTAAAGTCACGCAGTTCAGGTGGCGTGTCTCCTGCAGGTACTGATCATGATCAATTGCGGATTCGGAACCTACAATCATGGCAAAAATTCCATGGACACTTGAGCCTGGTTTCCATATGGTCGTAACGGTCGTAAAGATTGAGTCACGATTTTTCTCATCAACCGAAATAAAACATTTTAGAACTGAAAATACGCGGAGTGATTATAACTAGAGAATACTTATGATTTATATGTGGTTTACAGGTATAAATTATTATAAACTGGCCGTTGAGAAAGATCGTGACTCTATTTTTACGACCATTACGCCTATATGGAAACCAGGCTTTAGGCGTAAAGTAAAGTACAGGGACGTCGCTATGGGGGGGGGGGTGTAATACCCCCCCCCCCCC